ATTTACATCCCGCCACGACAATTTAGTTGACCTTAATATTTCCTGTGTTTTATTTTGGTCATTATTGTTACACTTAGTGTTAAATCCTCTCGACTGATGATCCAACTGGCTTCAGGCGTGCAGCTCCACTCCAGGCCACTCCCCAACGGGAAGCCGAAGGGGAGAGACCTTTCTTAAAGAGAAACCCAGAACCTGACAATATGTGTGTGACAGGCATGTCTATCGGACATTTATAGAAATACGGAACAAATCGCGTCCTGTATCGGTTCAATACCGGACGCAACATTTAACACCCAAATACGGGACGGGTGGCAACCCTACACCTGTAGCATATCTTCATTAGCGTCCTTTGGCCCACGGGCGTAAATCCCATCTCATTATTGTGGGGGACCATAAACAGGGACATTTTTTAAAAGCAATTTTGGGCGGGTCGGCAAAGTTACAGTAAAATGTGGTTTAATTTTTTTTGTGTTCAAGCTGCACCATCAAAAATGACTAGTAAGTAGCAATGAATAACAAAAGTATTTTTCTCAGTAAACAACCTGTTGAGACCCATTGAAGTCAAACTAAGATCCAACTGTTGCTTAGATATGAGTTTGGTTCAGTGTCACAGATATAATCTCTGATACACCTTTACAAAAACTTAAGGCTCTAAATAAAACCAAGTTTTAATAAGTAACTCCACTTAATAAAATTCCTCATATTGCAGTGGTTCTCAATACAAGTCGTGTTATTTAAATTATAATTAAAGTTGCTTTAAACTTTTTGGGGGGCGGCGGGGTGTCATGTTCTGGATGGCTAAGAACCTATAAATATGTAGGAACTGAATATTTGGGAAGTATCATAACTTAAAGGTCAGCACCAGAGTTTTCTAGAAAAATATTCCGATTTTATTTTGTGGTTTTAAAGGCTCTACCTTGAAGATGGCAATAAAGGCATACTTTATTTTTTTTACTGTCAGCTGCAATAGTTCCCCTGCTCTTGGCTCCCATACAGAGCTGTCGGCTAGTGGTAACACTCAGCCACTCCCTCCCGTTTCAAACACTTCTTTAATAAGAAGTGTGATAGGCATGTCACACAATAAGCGTGTGTGACATGCCTATCACACACACATATCAACACTAAGTGTAACACTTAGTTCAAACACTTCTTTAATAAGAAGTGTTTGAACAGTATATAATAACAATATAATTGAAATATTGGCTACTTTCGACAGGAAAAGGAACCAAGTCTGTGAAAGCAATGTAGCAGTTTTGCTAGTTTTGATTTCCAAGGCAAAAGGTGGCAGTTTATCATGATTCAGCCAAATTAATGAAATAATGAACCGTGGACAGCATCCCTCACCGAAGGTGTTCATCAATGGGTTCGAGGGTTGCCGCTGCGACAGGCACCGACAACCTTGACCCTACCCAAGGCTATCCGCCTTGGGTGACCCTACCAGAGGCATGAAACCCCAGACAGCGTAGCTCCTGGGGTTACTGGGACACTCAAACCCCTTCACCAGGATAAGGTGGCAGCCCATGGAGAGGTTGTTGTTGCTTTGTGGTGGAATTCTAATAATTGAAATGCCAATGTCTGATTATTGTAAGATATTTGTCGCACCTCTTCTCTTCCTCTCCTCTTTTGAGCACTGAGAATTTTATTATTGGATTTGAGGTAATCACATTTTAAATTAAGCACTGTTGTGGATAGTGAGTTGTGATTCCTTTCTGTACATTTCCTTACTTGTCCATAAAAATTATTACTGACTGTCTGTGCGTGATATGTTGACACAAAAACATCTACAAGTTTCTACAAGGAGTTGAGCGGTTCATCTCCCCTACTTAAATGAGTGGTGTATCCCAACCACACAGTCTTTTCTTTTTCATTAACAACCTGCTATTGTTAATGCAATGTTGAGTTACAATCAAAAAGGTTACATTTTATGGTTAAGGTTGACGACTGAAAGTGGATCAACTATCAAACATGTCAGGAGGTGGTGTGGTTGGTGGTGAGGAGAGAACGCTGAGACCCAGGTAAGGTGATGAATATGAGGAATTTATTGAAGAGCTCACAGTCCGGAAAACAGGCAGCACGGCAGTGCTACCAGCTAATACCGGTAGCACTGACAAAGACTGAAAACGCGAGCTAAGCTAACCAGGACTTAGCAATTCCACTGGAGAGCATCGACCTAACAACTGAAGACAAAGACAGCTTTCAACATACGTCTGACAGCAAATGACACATGTAAGACAAGGACCCGACAAGAGACAAAGACAACAGGTGGACTTAAATACACTGGGAGGTTAATCAAGGGAACGAGACACACCTGGGAAGTAATCAACAGGGAAGACACAGAGACAACAGAGACTCACAGGACAGAACTGAACACAGAAACACAAATCATGACAAAACAATCATCCAATCCTAGTCAATGAACTAATGTTGAAAATATGTCATTGACTCAATGTTGATTTGTGGTTGAATTCTAATGATTGAAATATCTTCATCTAATCCAGTGTTTTTCAACACTGGTCCTGAATGCACACTTGATTTTTTTTTTTTGTTGAAAAATCGCATGTTCCTTCTTTGGGTGAAAAGACCAGGTAATTAAACATTGTCAAATGTCAAACCGGTGCTTAATCTATTTATTTATTAATAAACCTCTTGAAAACATCCATAAGCCAGAGTATGTGATGGGAAATAACTTTGAATGCTCATTAAGTTATAAGATACACTCGTGTGCTGAATGATTAAATGATGCATTAGGAACAACATGGTAGGCTATATGAACTTCTATCAAACAAATATTTGATTAGAATAGTTTTGTTCAGCTCTCATAATTATGCTACATGTATTAAGAAATGAAAAGAATTTTGATAATTATATTATCAAAATTTGCAGTGTTACTGCACATTTGTCTGCCAGTCTACCATTCTGACAGTGTGCAGCAACAGACATTCTTGGAATGGTAGTTATTTAAACGCTGAATTAAGATCAAATTGTTTCTTGTTTATTTGTTTTTGTTCCTTTTTAAGTGACCACAGTGGATTGAGTCATCACCTGTGATGAGAATGGCCTGAAATGATTGGCCATGTTTGAATTCATGAGAAGGCTCTCACCATGATTAATGTTGACCACAACATTGCAAGAACAGCTATAATTGCTGAGCTAGTGATCACATTTCCCGACACCTTCAAAGGGCTGCTTCCAGGAAATGACAACAAGATCTCCCAGTTTGCAGAGCGCTATAGGAACACTGTAACGAAGGAGATGGTTGACACGATCAGAGCAAAGTAAAAGCTAATACTGTTGAAACAACATTTTTTTTTTAATGTTAAAGAATAAATCATTCTGTTTTAGTTTTTGATTATAGCTAGCTATTATAACTATGCATAAATAAAACAGTTATAAATAGTCCAGTGTGTTCCACTTGACTTGAGGTAAGGTTACATTAAAAGACGCAGCCTCTGTGCTCCAGGACTGTTTTCAGGGCACAGATCGGCAGGTTTGTCAAATGTCAAACCGGTGCTTAATCTATTTATGAATAGATTAAGCACCTTATGAAGAAAAGGTGGCAGACAACTTTCTCTGTTCTGGGCTTCATCTCCAAGTGTGCCAATGATGTCATCACCAAGACAGTATCCTGTTACCCAAACTAGAAACCCTGGCTAAATGAGAGCTCTACTGAAAGCTAGGGACATTGCATTAAGGACAGGCAAGCCATCAGCACTCCGAGAGGTAAGGAAAGAACCGACTGCTGGCATTGTGAGGACCAAGGCCACATACGCCCAGAAAATTCAAGGTCCCTTCACCACCGCCTGGTGCATGTGGAAGGTCATCAGACTACAACATCAGGGATGCACAATGCCCAAAGGACCCCTCATTGCCAGATGCACTCAATAAGTTCTATTCCCACTTTGAAGATCCTAACACTCCCCCTCAGCACCAGATAATACCACTACCTGGTGACACGCCTCTCTGTGAGACCACAGGGGAAGTCCCTCCAGGAAAATCAACCCTCACAAGGCTGCAGATCCCAACAACATCCCAGGGCATGTACTGAGGGACTGTGCACATCAGCTGTCTGAGGTGTTGACGGACATCTTCCACACCTTACTATCACTCTCATCTGTACCCGCCTGCTTAAAGACCACCAGTATTGTCTCTGTCCCCAAGTGCTCCACAGTGACAGGCCTGAATGACTACCGACCTACAGCCTTAACATCGGTGGTCATGAAGTGTTTGAAGAGGCTGGTTGTGACTCACACCAAGGGCTCCATTGTGCCACTGTGGACCCCCATCAGTAGGCCTACAGAAAGAACTGTTTTACTGCTGATGCCATCTCATTGGTGGTCAACACAGCCCTCACCCACCTAGAGAACAGGAACTCTTACATCTGTCTGCTCTTTCTGGATTTCTCCTTGGCCTTCAACATCATAAACCCGGTTGTCATAACAAAAATATTTTTGACTACCGTATTTTCTGCACTATAAAGCGCACCTAAAAACCTTCAATTTCCTCAAAAGCCGACAGTGCGCCTTATAATCCGGTGCGCCTTATGTATGGACCAATATTGAGCCACAACAGGTCTAGCAACTACGGTAAGCAGCCGCCGACTTCATTTTCGCCCGTAGAAGAAGAAGCGCGTGGTGCATGCTGGGATAGTTGTCAGAACGCTGGTTTGTGAATAAAGTTTGACTGACCTATCTACCTACCAACCGTCTAGAATCAGGTCGTCTGCAGGTCATTTAGCACCGCGTTCTCCACCAACATGCTGTGCGCGAACGGCAAAGGCTGACCATATTCATATTTTCAACTTAAATGTAATATTTATTGTTTCTGTGATATTTTGACAGAATGTTCTGTGTTTGATCTTTATACCCAAGTGACCAATTAAACATATATTTGCAAATTAGCCTTTCATTCAGTTTTGAGACAGTTTCAAAAGATTACACCTACAGAAAGACATTAAAGGAATAAAAATGACTAAGCTGACATGTTTTGTTCTTTCCCCCTAGTTCAAATCGTCAGGAGTGAACAGTGGTGCAAAATGATTCCATGTTTGGATGATGAGGGTTGTAATATCCTGGTCAATAAATCGGGCTGGACCTGCACACAAACAGGAGGCCGAGTAAAAACTACCATGGTAGGAGCAGAACTTGTTGGGCTACTGTGATTCTTTACTATCACATGATTTGAAATTATCTTTAACCAAGAGTTAGGAAAAACTGTTTCAAGAACAAGAGAAAGAATATATATTCTTTATCAATATTTATTGTAATGTTTTACAATGTTCAAAGACTTTGCTCACTGAAGACTCAGGAGAAAAAGCCTAGAGAAGAACACAACATACAGTTTTATAGGAGGGTTTTATTCCATCCACATACATTGACAATCTGTTTACAAAACAGATTGCAAGCATATGCATTTGCTTTCATAAAGGAAATTAAACATTCAAGGATGTTCTTGAGGGTGGATAGCAGACAAACAAGAAGTAATTCAACAACTTTATTGTAATATAAGGTTTGGTGAGACAGCTTCAGAAAACATTCCCATGAGCATTACACAAGAATCATAACATTGTTATGCATTGATACACTCAAATAGTACCGTATTTTCTGCACTATAAGGCACACCTAAAACCCTTCAAATTCCTCAAAAGCCGACAGTGCGCCTTATAATCCGGTGAGCCTTATATATGGACCAATATTGAGCCACAACAGGTCTGGCAACTACGGTAAGCAGCCGCCGACTTCATTTTCGCCCGTAGAAGAAGAAGCGCGCAGTGCATTCTGGGATAGTTGTCACAACGCTGGTTTGTTAATAAAGTTTGACTGAGCTATCTACCTACCGACCTGATAATCAGGTCGTCTGCAGGTCATTTAGCACCGCGTTCTCCACCAACATGCTGTGCGCGAACGGAGAAGGGTGACCATCGTCCGGCCACGCCCCGGCCCAGTCGCGGAAGGCTCTCCTCGCCAACCGGAGACGGACTGTTTTGTTGACATTCACTTTAGTGCAGCTCCATCTAGTGGATGAATAACGTAACTCCAGCCTCTACAGTAGCGTCTATTCTATGTGCCTTATATATGAAAAAAGTTTTAAAATAGGCCATTCATTGAAGGTACGCCTTATAATCCGGTGCGCCTTATGGTGCGGAAAATACAGTAACCTTAAACTTTTCGATCGCATTTTCTCTCTTCTGATACTAAAAAATCAGATTAAAAAGAAAATTATAAACTTAACCTAACCTAACAATAACAAAAGAACTGAAAAAGTAGGATCAGGGAAAATGGTATAAAGTGCACACACTCTGTTTTTGTGAAACACAGAGGTCTTGGTATTAACAAATCAAAGGGGAACCCTGAAAGATGTAGAAAACACATATAATGTTACATCAAACAAGTAGAAATTTAGATTTTATATTTGAAAACAAATAAAGATTAAAGCTACAAGTAGCATTGGCAGTTCTCACAGCTCAGTGCCGCTCCGGCCTCATGGCTACCGCATGAGCTCCAGCAACGCCGCCCGCTTGCTTTGGCCATGCTCTCATGCAGTTTCCATACCCGTCCACTAGGCAATGGACATAAATATGTTGTGGAGTGCTCCCTAATGATGCACAAAAAATCTGGTGTAGGTCAGTTGATGTATTAATGAGATATATCTAATGGAATAAGTTGTTCCATTTCGAGGTTTTATGGTGAACAGTTAGGATTTGAGGGTTGGCCACACCCAGATTTTGTGATGTAGGGTTGTAGTCAAGACCAAGACCAGAGTGTATCAAGACCGAGACAAGACCAAGACTTTTAGGGTCCGAGACCAAGTCGAGACCAAGACTGGTGCCCGTGCTATATGACACACTAAAATGTGAAATATGATCAAAATTGCTCCTTATATTGATCTGAAGGATCCACATTCCCATAAAAGCACCTAGATATTAAATGCTTAGAGCTGAAACAAATTTAACCAATATCCTTATCAATTCAAACTCTTCATTCTGCTTTGCTTCCATCTCTGTGTCACAATCCGTGGAGGTCTCGTACCATCCCTAAAAAGATAACGCCCTGGGCGGTTGCCCATATTGCCCATGTCAGAAACCACCACTGTCTGCACCATTTAACATAACAATTAAGACAATGCATTAACGGTAACAACACTCAACTATGAACACTGACCAAGGCACTACAAGCAAGAAGTAACCAAGCACAATATGCGCATCGTGACTGTTCTCACTCTCTTTCCCGCTGCATGAAGCCAGGCAGCACAGTGCTGTAATGTCTGCCACCATAACAGGTGACAAAAACAATCAAAGAGCAATGAGCATGCTCTGCAGGCTCTTCCATTCTCGTGTTTTATTTATTTGCTAATTAAATAAATATCAATGTATATAATTAAATAAAATAATAATAGCTACTGCAGTGTACGCAGAGCATTACTAGAACAAAGAACAGCTGTCAGTGAGGCCCCAGTCCTATGTTCTTAGTAAAGAGCCATTCAGAAGAATTGAATCTTTCGTGAATCTGACTTCACTATATTGCAGACAGCTTTGTCCCATATATGCGTCCACCAAATATTGGACTGCATTCCGGTTGGGAGATGGACAAGGAAATTTGTAGAATTTAGAGCCAAACATATGGCAACGGCATCACCTATGACTTTACTGCATTGCAATGGCCATGCCCACCACCAAAACTCTTCGTACTTTAAGGCAAGTGAGACTAATTTTCTGTCTTCTGACATAAGATTATCTTAATTTGCTCAAGTGGGTCAGAGATGGAGCTTTCCAAGTAAAAAGAAAGTGACTTAACGCTGTATTTCATCCTTGTGGAAGAAAGAGACATTATGTGGAATTTCACAATGCATTACAAAAATTACTTTTGACTTTGCATTTGAGAAAATTATCTTTTTTACTAAGAACAATCTTGATAAATTTTGGGAAATTAGTCTGTCTTTTACACTTCGCTGGGCCAAAATGGTATCTAACTTGATGGGGGGAAAAAAGACCATCATAGTGTGATAACGTCACACCATAGGACCGTCAGGGATCCCACCAGGATCACTCATTCCAGGTTTGGTGCCAATTGACCTTTGCATATGAAAGTTGTAACATTGGTTTGCTTTGGTGAGTTCGCTAAGTGCGCCACTTGGCCGTGCCCCCTTAACATGCTCAAAAACTCATGATTTTGATCATTTTTAATGCCTCGCCTCTTATCTGCACACTGACCAAAAATTATGTCGATAGCTCAAAATCCTGAAGAGGAGTTTGTTAAAGTTCAAGGTGTGTGAAAACGACAAAACGCCACAATTTGCCCTTTGATTCAAAATGACCAGTTTCCCTGTACATTTTAGGGCATACCTCCAAAAGACTTTTTTTTCCTGATTTAGTGAGATCTACCTACGTACCAAATTTCATATTTCTACAATGTACAGTTTGTCCTATCACACGTTATGATCTCACACTTACAGTGAGAAAACATTAAAGAAAAACATTTGTATACACAAAACACTATCAATCCAAATTTAGATAAAATTTAAGTGAAATAAAGTTAAACTTAAATTTTCTATTACAGGGCATTGGTATAACTCAGTGTTATCCCCTCAAATATGGTGACTAATTATTTCCTAATGCTGTTTATTTGTCTCCAGGTTCCCTGACAGTGGCAAAGAGGACAACAGAGTAATTCTTACTATAGATTAGCTGCCCTCTCCATGAAAAGAAGCGGGTACCAGGTCAGGTTAATTCCTGCAGACCAGTTGGGAGCCACCATATGGGGGAATTTTTCTGCTACATTTTCGGTCTGAAAACAGGATTTGATGTCTTTTGTTCTCAAAACTTTTAATACTTTTGCTTATGGTGGTTGGTGAGACAAACTTTTGTCTAAGATCAGAAGGCTGTTTGTGATCAGTAGCACACTGCTGGTAGATGTTTAATGTACTACAGAGTAGGAAGCTGATGTCGTTGTTTCTCCCTACATCCAGTTGGTGGCATCAATCGATAATAGCCACACAGGCACACCCGCTAGAAGGAAACAAACACACCCAGTACAACACTTTCATTCTATAGGCTGAGAGGTTGTCAGGCGACTGTGCCAATAGGCGTTTCCAAAAGTGAGCAGAATCCAAGCAGAGACTAAGTCTAAGTCCGAGGAGAAGTTTTGAGTACAAGCATTACAAGTTTTGAGAAGAAAGACATGAAGTCCTGCTTTCAAAATAAAAATGTAAGCAAAAGTATTAAAAGTTTTGAGAACAAAAGAGATAAAATCCTGCTTTCAGACTGAAAATGTATGCTCTTGGATAATGGCAGAAAAATTCCACCATACCACCATCAGAGTCAAGAAGCAAGGTAAAAACTACAGTCTAGAGAAAAAATGTGATTTTATTTTATTTTGGTGGAGAGTACGTCAATGGATTTATTCTTTTTTTTTACTGCTAAATTGTACATAACTAAGACATTTAGAGAAGAGACTTTTAAAGAAAAGAACATATTGTGAAAGCAAAGAAAAGGAGTTATTTTGTCTGTTGCCCACACAATCTGGTTAGAACAGGGGTATCCAAAGTCGGTCCTCGAGGGCTGGCATCCTGCACATTTTAGTTCTCTCCCTGGTGGTAGTGACAAACTTTTTAGCTTTTCAGTGTTGCTCTTAGGCCTTCTAACGAGCCATCATTTGATCCAGGCGCTTTAAATCAGGGAGTGACCTAAAACATGCAGGATGTCGGCCCTCCAGTACCGACTGTGGACACCCCTGAAATATACTCATCACTTGTATAAATCTCTTGATATATTTGGGCTCTTAATCATGCTCCTGAACGATACTTTGTGTACCATCTACTTACATCGAATAAATTAGAATATGTGTCTCAATGAGTCTTGTTTATCAGATTAAAAGTACCTTTTTGTTGGGCTCTGGGGTTGTTTTAGTTTGGTTTTGGATTTTTAGTGTTCCTTAGGTTTTTCTATTTAGTTTGCGTTTTCCACTTCTGTTCTTCCTTTGTGATTATAGGTTTGTTTTTCTTTTCATGTTTCTTTAGTCCAAGTTATTCTTTAATGTTAGAATTATTTCCTGTTCCCTGTGTTCCCTGCCTCCTCCTTCTTCTTCTTTTTTTTATGGCGGTTGGCAAACAACTTTTACGTGCATTACCGCCACTTTCCAGGTTGGAGTATGGATCAGACACTTATAATCTCCCCATAATACCCGTTCTTCTGAGAAAAATAAAAATACTATAAAAAACTACATTCGTGTTCCCTGCCTTGCTCTCCTGTGTCACTTTCTCCTCCCCTTCTCCTCAGTCTCCCTTCACTCACACCTGCAATCAATTTACTCATCAGCCCAGGTCTGTTCAGATTTCTCCTTCCTAATATTTAAACCACTCTCTTTCAGTCAGTAGTTGCCAGTTCATCTTGTTACTTTCCTCTCTTCTTCTTGGGTTCCCAGTTTGGCCTTGTTTTGGATTTTTCTGTTGGACTTTCTATTTTTGTAAGTTTTTTTTTTTTTTTTTTTTCATTAAATATCCACAACTGATCTATGTCTCTCACGTGCTGCATTTGGGTCTGGATTTAAACACACATCATGACACTTTTGAAAAGATCAACCTTTAAAATGGGTATTAAACATACTTCTCATTAAAACCACTTTTCTATGGTATTAGACCAATAAAAATAGCTTTTTATTGGTCTAATTGCTCTAATTGCAATGGTAGTGTTGCCTTGCAGAAAGAAGGTCCTGGGTTTGATTCCCGGCCCGGGGTCTTTCTGCATGGAGTTTGCATGTTCTCCCTGTGCCTGGTGGGTTCTCTCCAGGTACTCCAGCTTCCTCCCACAGTCCAAAACCAAGACTATCAGGTTAATTGGTCTCTCTAAATCAGGGGTGTCAAACTCCAGTCCTCAAGGGCCGCTGTCCTGCAGTGTTTAGATGTGCCACAGGTAAAAAAAAAACGGTGGAATGAAATGGCTTAATTACCTCCTCCCTGTGTAGATTGGTTCTCCTGAGCCTTGCTAATGACCTAATTATTCTTTTCAGGTGTGGTGCAGCAGAGGCACATCTAAAAGTTGCAGGACAGAGGCCCTTGAGGACTGGAGTTTGACACCCCTGCTCTAAATTCTCTCTAGGTGAGTGTGTGTGTGCATGGTTGTGTGTCCTGTCTGTCTCTGTGTTGCCCTGCGACAGACTAGAGACCTGTCCAGGGTGACCCCGCCTCTCGCCCGGAACGTTAGCTGGAGATAGACAGCAGCAGCCCTCCCAACCCCACTAGGGTAAAGGGTGTTGGATGGATGGATAGATTTTAAAAATACACTTTGCAATATATTTTTAAAATGTACACT